CACCAATCGGGAACAATCACACGGTTTCGGTATATTTCTGTCTATGTAGTGTAAAAACCGTGGGAGGAGTTAGAGTGGTAAATTTGGCTATAATAAAAATATTATATAATTGTGAGATAATATAAAGTGGTCTTGCTATGCAAGAACACTTAATGAATGATTCATTGATCCCGAAATCCTTAGCAGTGAAATTATAATTGGTGATGTCATGCTGTGATGTCATAAACATAACTGCTGATGTAACTGCCTGAACATTTTATTTCTTCCCAGTTATATCTGAAGCCTTGACTAAGTATCACCTAGATTCATGGTTTTCCTACCTTCTCAATGGCATAGAGATCTCTGCCTCACTTGGATGTGTCTGAAGAATTGGAGCTTGACTACCTCCAATCTGATCTCAACAATGGAGGTTCTAGCAGGTGGCAATATATTTTGCACAGCTACTCGTATACCCATTAGGAACAATTGGTGCATCTAAAACAGGGATTTTAACCATTGCGTGCGCTTCTTTGGGTGAGTTGCAAATAGGGGAGCAAGGGAATTGTCTACTGTATATCTTTTTTGAGGTATCGGTATCATCTATCAAACTCTGTTTAATCTTTCCATCTGCCTATCTATCTATCTATCTATCTATGTATCTATGTATGTCTGTCTGTGTCTATGTTTGTCTGTCTGTAAATATGCTTTAGTAATCTTTTCATCTGTATTTCTGCCTTTCTGTCTGTCTATCTATGTATGTCTGTCTGTGTCTATGTCTGTCTGTCTGTCTCTCTGCCAAGTTAAATAGTTTATAAAAGAGCCAGCCCAGCTCTATCGAATGGTCTGTATTTGCCTTTTAATGCCCAGAGGTGAGGGCAGGGGCGTTTTAGCCGCGAGGCAAACAAGGCATTTGCCTTGGGCGGCATTTTTCAGGGGGTGGCAAAAAAACGCTGCCCCCAAATGCCCAGGGCAAATGCCTAGTTAGCCTCGCGGCTAACAGACATGCTGGGCGCTGGGCAGGCGGCTGGCGAGGGAGCACTTCCCCTGAGCGGTCAGCTCAGCTCCCTCGCGCGCCGCAGAGTGAGGCTGGGAGCCGGAAGATGACGTCATATTCCGGCTCCCAGTCTCCTCTGCGGCGCGCGAGCTGAGCAGACCGCTCAGAGGAAGAGCTCCCTCGCCATGCCCGCCAGCCACTGGACCCCAGGGAGAGAGAACCCCCCCCAGCATTCCCAAAGGTAAGGAGGTTGGGGGGGGGGAAATAAAAAAAAATGTGATAATGTGAGTGAGTGTGTGTATATGTCTGTGAGTGTGTCTGTTAATGTGTGTGTGTTTTGTTAGTGTGTGTCTGACTGTGTGAGTGTGAGTGTGTGTGTCTGCTAGTGTGTGTCTGCTAGTTTGTATGTGTGTGTCTGACTGTGTGTCAGTGAGTGTGTGTTTGCCTGTGAGTGTGTGTGTGTGTGTGTCTGCTAGTGAGTGTGTGTGTGTGTGTGTCTGTTAGTGTGTGTGTGTCTATTAGTGTGTGTGTCTGTTAGTGTGTGTCTGACTGTGTGTGTGTCTGTTAGTGTGAGTGTGTTTGCATGTGAGTGTGTGTGTCAGTGAGTGTGTGTCTGTTAGTGTGTGTGTGAGTGTGTGTGTGTCTGCTAGTGTGTGTCTGCTAGTTAGTGAGTGTGTGTCTGTTAGTGTGTGTGTCTGACTGTGTTTGTCTGTTAGTGTGTATGTGTGTGTCTGACTGTGTGTCAGTGAGTGTGTGTGTGTGTGTATGCTAGTAAGTGTGTGTTTGCCTGTGAGTGTGTGTGTGTCTGCTAGTGAGTGTGTGTGTCTGACTGTGTGTGTGTCTGTTAGTGTGTGTGTCTGTTAGTGTGAGTGTGTTTGCCTGTGAGTGTGTGTGTCACTGAGTGTGTGTCTGTTAGTGAGTGTGAGTGTGTCTGTTAGTGTGTGTGTGTGTTTCTGTTAGCGAGTGTATGCGTATCTGTCAGTGAATGTGTGTGTGTGTATTTAGAAGGCGGGGCGGGGGGAAGGGTTGGGGTGGACTGGGGGCCTGAGTTTTGTCCTGCCTAGGGCAGCACAAAACCAGGATACACCACTGGGTGAGGGCAGTCCTTCAAGCCATAGTTTCCCAGAGGTTTCCTCCACAGGAGGTTATTCCTTTCCTGGGTGCTGAAGAACGACTCTTCGTGAGTCCAGAGGTTGCCCACATATTGGCTGTTTCCTGGTCAAATTTATATTATTAGCCAAAATTCCAAGATATATCTTGGCCCATAAGTCATCACTTTCCCTTTTAGAGACTGCAAAATGATATTAACTATTTTAACTATACTTAATAAAAGTAATATTAATTCATATTTATGTCTCGTGTTGATTTTTATAAAATAATAATTAGTGAAATGGCTTCTGATAGGAGTGGAGAGCAGCCATCTGGAATTGTTGCTATGGTGTTAAAATTAAAGAGGGAGAGTATATGTGGTTATATAGTGATGCTGCACAAAAATGTGGAAGGTTGTACGTTTGCAGTCTCAAGTTCTCATCATTGCTCTGTTATGAGTTATATAATATAATAAATGTATTGAAACATGAGGAAGGTATATGATGTTCCGTATATGATGTTCTAAGTAGATTTAGTGAGTTCTAATTAACCTTTTATAGAAAGCGGAAATATTAGTTAAAAGGTAAACCGCTTAAAGGGACACTATAGTGAACAGAACAACTACAGCTTAATGTATTTGTTCAGGTGAGTATAGTCATTCCTTGCAGACATTTTGCAGTAAATACTGTTTTTTCAGAGAAAAAGCTTTGTTTACATTACAGCCTCGGGACACTTCCAATAGCTACTGCTCAGATGGCTACTAGAGGTGCTTCCTGGGGCAGTGCTGCACAGTGAGACTGTTATTCAGTGTCTCAACCCTCTGCATGGAGACACAGAACTTTCCTGCATTGATTAAATGCATCTCTATGAGGAGATGCTGATTGCTGATGCATAATAGATCTGAGGATGGAGGAACAGGTGATGTGGAAGGGGGAACAAACCCCAAAATCAGAAAAAGAGTACAGTAGGTGCACCTGGAAGAATATAGTCTGTACTAGTATTGGGATAAATAAAAAGTGCAGAAGGCTCTCAAACTCGTACAAACACCCTACAACAGGATGTGACCTGATTTACGTTTTAAACGCTCAATGGCCGAAGGAGAGAGGAAGATGATGGAGTGTCCATCCCATGAAGATAATCATCCCTCTGCTGGTCCTTACACCGGGACTGGGTCCTACGGAGAAAAAAACTGATACTCTCCGGTATAGAGAAACATGTGAGAAATCATATCTCTCCATTCGCCTCGCTCCTTTTATTTCATTGGAAGTATCGACTTCTGTGTTAAATTGTGTGAAAATAGAAATGATCTCATCCAACCACCTAGTGTGTGTTATGGGAAATAGGACCGTGTGAAAGGACGAGTTTTTTTCGGGTTCAAGCAATGGGATATTTCCCAGATGTACTTGCTCTGGGTGATCCAATAAGTATGGCATCCAGAACTTCATCTTTAAAGGAATACATACATATATTACTGACAATATAGTTCTAAATGCGCCATTTTGGTGTCTGACCTCCATGCTCCTCCGTTAAAAAGGTGTTAAACTGACCTTTTCTCCAGCGTCGCGCGTGTCTCACAGAGCTGGCCCATTCTGCCACCATATCTGAGATAATCAAATTAGACAATCTCAATCAACCCAATGCTTTACCCATAGGAAAGCGTTGGGAGGCTATTGTACATGCGTGGCAAAACATCACACTGCCCAATCAGCATTTCCTCATACAGATGCATTGAATCAATGCATCTCTGTATGGGGAGCATACAGCGTCTCCATGCAGAGCGCAGAGAAGCTGGACAGCAGTGCTGCAAACTGTGCAGCAGTGACCCAGGAAGCACCTCTAGTGTCTATCTGAGTAACTGCCACTAGAGGATTTCCTAGGCAGTAATGTTAAACACCGTCTTTTCTCTAAAAAGGCAGTGATAACATTAAAGGGACACTATAGTCACCTGAACAACTTTAGCTTAATGAAGCAGTTTTGGTGTATAGAACATGCCCCTGCAGCCTCACTGCTCAATCCTCTGCCATTTAGGAGTTACATTCCTTTGTTTATGAACCCTAGTCACACCTCCCTGCATGTGACTTGCACAGCCTTCCATAAACACTTCCTGTAAAGAGAGCCCTATTTAGGCTTTCTTTATTGCAAGTTCTGTTTAATTAAGATTTTCTTATCCCCTGCTATGTTAATAGCTTGCTAGACCCTACAAGAGCCTCCTGTATGTGATTAAAGTTCAATTTAGAGATTGACATACAATTATTTAATGTAAATTACATTTGTTTGAAAGTGAAACCAGTTTTATTTTCATGCAGGCTCTGTCAATCATAGCCAGGGGAGGTGTGGCTAGGGCTGCATAAACAGAAACAAAGTGATTTAACTCCTAAATGACAGTGAATTGAGCAGTGAAATTGCAGGGGAATGATCTATACACTAAAACTGCTTTATTTAGCTAAAGTAATTTAGGTGACTATAGTGTTCCTTTAAAAAAACTGCAGGGACAGGCTATAAACTCCAGAATCTCGACATTAAGTTATAGTTGTTCTGGTGACTGTAGTGTCCATTTAAAAACTTTTTTTTTTTTTTTTAATAAAAGGGGTACTGCTTTTTTTCTAAAACACCGATATTTTATTTTAAAATGCCCTATTGGCATCTCAACCCCTCCTTTTTTAAGTAATATGCCTTGTAAAATAATATACAACTTAATAGAGACAGTATTATGTTGGTAATAGTTAAAGTAAATATACTAAGAAAAAATATTATAAAATAGACAAAAGTTGTGAAAGGAAAAGGGAGTTGCAAAGTTTACTTTTAAATTAATATAAAATGTAAATTGATTGTAAAGACTCCTTCTGCGTGTTTATTATTCCCTTTTATTTTAATGAAGATAACCTTTACATCAGAAACTATGATCCTTAGCAGTGAAATTATAATTGGTGATGCCATGCTGTGATGTCATACACATAACTGCTGATGTAACTGCTTGAACATTCTATTTCTTCCCAGTTATAACTGAGACCCTGACTAAGTATCACCTAGATTCATGGTTCTCCTACCTTCTCAATGGCATAGAGATCTCTGCCTCGCTTGGATGTGTCTGAAGACTTGGAGCTTGAATACCCTCAATCTGATCTCAACAATGGAGGTTCTAGCAGGGGGCGATATAATTTGCACAGCTACTCGTATACCCATTAGGAAAAATTGGTGTTTCTACTATGGGGATTTTAACCATTGCATGCGCTGCTTTGGTTGGGTTGCAAATAGGGGAGCGAGAAAATTGTCTGTACAGGTATCGGTATTGTGACAGACCGCTGGCACTCCGACTGAGTACCTCCGCCAATTGAGTCTCCTAGCGCTTGCCGAGGACTCCGAGCACTCCAACCGACACCATCAGCACTGCGGACCCCACTTCCAGCGATGCAACTGTGCCGGGGTCTCGCCGTCTCTCACCCACCCTGGATCCATGACCAGGATCCAGCTCCCAGTGGGTGAACCTCTCCTAAATGCAGAGAGCGTAGCAGGAACAAATCAAGCTCTTACAAGAGCTTACTCTGGGGAGTAAGTGATTATAGCAATCCCCAGAGTGTAGGTATCCCTCCCCCAAGCATGAGCCAACGCTTCAAGAAAGGTGCAAGTAGGTCTGGTTTATTGAGGGCTACCTGCCCGGTATTTATGGAAGTGTCCACCAGGTGGACACTCCCGTAGGGGACCTGATGGAACAATGGGACACATATTGGATATTAGCCAATCACAGACAATACAAGCAAAACACTCCCACAGTGACATCACAATCCCTCCTCTCTATCCTGGAGATAATTGGGAAGTAATCAAATTATCTCCCAGGACAGAGGCAAGACTCCATTAACCACATGGTTACAAAAAGACATAAAATTACACAATGTTACAATTACTACATAAAACATATACATGCAACATATCCCCAGATAGCTTAAATCTGAGCGCACATTATTACCAAATGGCGCTTAGATCACCTACATACAGTTCAATCGCCATGGAGCCAAAGTCTTTTCCATAGTCTTTTGTTACACGCATAGGCTCCATGGCATAGATATCTGGGGTAGCACTACTCACATACTGAAAGTCCTGAACGCCCCGGCAGAAATACACAAATAAACCTTTCTGCAGGAGAAAATACAGCTATCAGCACAGGGGCCATAGTCTGAAGGCAGGAGGCTAGCCAGTAGTCCCCTCCTGGCACAAGTAGCGAAGGGCACTTCGTCACAGGTATTATCTGTCAATCTCTGTTTAATCTTTCTATCTGCCTGTCTATGTATGTATGTATGTCTGTGTCTATGTTTGTCTGTCTGTGAATCTGCTTTAGTAAGCTTTCTGTCTATTTATCTGCCTGCCTGTCTATGTATGTCTGTCTGTGTCTATGTCTGTCTCTCTGCCAAGTTAAATAGTTTATAAAAGAGCCAGCCCAGCTCTATTGAATGGTCTGTATTTGCCTCTGAATGCCCAGAAGTGAGGGTAGTCCTTCAAGCCATGGTTCCACAGAGGTTTTCTCCTCAGGAGACTTTTCCTTTCCTGAGTGCTGAAGGATGACTCTTCGTGAGTCCAGAGGTCACCCACATATTGGCTGTTTCCTGGTCAAATATGTAATATAATATCTATATATAATAATATAATACAAGATTTCAAGATATACATAACTTGGCCCCATGTCCTTAATTCCCCTATTAGAGACTGGAAAATTATATTAACTATTTTAACTATACTTAATAAAAGTTATTTTAATTCATATTTATGTCTCATGTTGATTTTCATAAATTAATAATTGGTATTAATTTGTTTTGATCTGGAGGAGGGAATGGCTTCTGATAGGAGTAGAGAGCAGCCATCTTGAATTGTTTCCATGATGTTTAAATTAAAGGGGGAGAGTATACATTCATGGGAAATGCTCTACATAATTGGGGAAGGTTAAACTTTAAAGGACCACTATAGGCACCCAGTCTGGGTGCCAGGTCCAGCTAGGTTTAACCCTTTTTGCAGTAAACATAGCAGTTTCAGAGAAACTGCTATGTTTACCTATGGGTTAATCCAGCCTCTAGTGGCTGTCTCATTGACAGCCGCTAGAGGCACTTCCGTGCTTTTCACAGTGAGAAGACACCAGCGTCCATAGGAAAGCATTGAGAATGCTTTCCTATGAGACTGGCTGAATGCGCGCGCAGCTCTTGCCGCGAATGCGCATTCAGCCAATGACGGAAGAAGAGGGAGGAGAGTCCTAGCACCGATGGAGCCCGGCGCTGGAAGAAAGGTAAGGGATTAACCCCTTCCTCCCCCCTCAGCGCCACGGGAGTGGAACCCTGAGGGTGGGGGCATCCTCAGGGCACTAGGGTGCCAGGAAAACAAGTATGTTTTCCTGTCACTATAGTGGTCCTTTAACAGTCTCAACGATCAAATTATCATTGGTTTATGATGATTTACAAAGGTATATGATGTTCCTTGTTTCCATTGTAGGGAGTTGTGTTTGCCAGTAAATACATTACATTGTAAGGAAGACGGAGAACATTAGATAAAAGATAAGGGAAGTGCATGATGCATCTGCACTTTAAGGGAAGTGCATGATAGATCTGAGGATGGAGGAACAGGTGATGTGGAACGGGAAACACAACCCAAAATCATAAAAAGAGTACAGTAGGTGCACCTGGAAGAATAAATATATATAAATACTTCAAACTCTGGCACTGACCATCAATGGAAAAAATAGCTTATATTATACCTGGGTGCTTCCATCGCCAAAAATGAACTACAGAAAACGGAGCACTCCTTAGGAAATATTTTCAACCGTATATTTTATCAATAATCAATGTTTTGACACTCCAGGGTCTTTATCAGGATCAAAAGATAAAGACCCTGGAGGGTCAAAACGTTGATTATTGATAAAATATACGGTTGAAAATATTTCCTAAGGAGTGCTCCGTTTTCTGTAGTTTATATATATATATATATTTCGGAGAAAATAACCCAAGGATAGGAAAACCTAGCCTAAGGGATAGAGGAGGGTTACAGAGGTAACAGAGGGCATGACCCTAAATTACTGAATAATGAGAAACACTAATGGGGATGGTTAGCTTTCAGCTAGGAAAGCCAGCCAGCCTCATAGGAATTACCTCCCAAGTAAAAATCAATGTAAGGTAATATATAAACTTTATTAAGGGAAAAAATATATAGTGTTTCTCAAATATAGAGATATATATTTATTTTTTAATCAATGGGCCTATAATTAATCAATGGGCCTATTCCATGGGCATGGGCCTGTAGCTGCAGCTCTATCAGCCCCTATGTTAATCTGGCCCTGGAAGGGGGACACACAACCCAAAATCATAAAACGAGTACAATAGCTGCACCAGGAAGAATATAGTCTGGTATATGGATAAATAAAATGTGCCGAGGGCTCTCAAGCTCGTACAAACACACTACAACAGGAAGTGACTTGATTCACTTTTCAAACGCTTAATGGCCGAAGGAGGGAGGAAGATGAAAAGCAATTAATGGACTGTGCAGCCCATTGAGACAAACATCCCTCTGCTGGTCCTTACGGGTTTGGGTCCTACGGAAAAAAACCTGCTGCTCTCCGGGTTCAGATAAACAAATGAGAAATAATTTTTCCCTATTTATTCCATAAAAGTATTGACTTCTGTGTTAGATTGTGTGAAAATAAAAATGATCTAATTGTCACTGTTTTTATATTAAGGGGCACCTAAAAATGCAACTACTTAGCTTGTCTAATGGGAATGTAAAAGCATGAGTTTTTTTCAGGTTAAAGTTATGTGAAATTTCCCAGAATTACCTGCTCTGGGCGCTCCAGTATGTTGGGTTGCCTACCACATAATTACATATTTTTGTATGCTAGTTTTTCTCAAAAAAAAAAACAAAAAAAAAAACACGCATAACAAATTAATTTTATTATAAAGGCGAAACAAATTATTTCCAACCAAGAAGAGGAACATGGGAACACCCCAACAGGTATTCCCTGCTCCAAATAGAGTCTTCTCAGAAACACAAGAGATCAGAGGAAGATCAAGAAATTGTAGGCAGAAAGGTTCTACCATTAAAAGAAAGTAGTAGGAGTATAATCAATTAATACAGGGCGCAGTGCCTTATTATAATGAAAGCTACAGGAGACAAGTGGACATTGTTTACTAGTAATTCCAGTGATTGGCAGCGCAAGCATGATGTCACAGGTTTGCTGTATTAACTGCACACAATGGACTGGGGCCTTGCCCTGTTCTTTGATAGCATATTTCATCACTGACTCTGCCTAAAGGGGCAGTCCCACCCACTGGCAAGTTAGCCTGGTGTGAATGCATGTCAGGCTGCCTGCCAATCATATAAGGCCAGTCCACTGAGGGCTCTGGAAAAAGGTCTTGCCGTGGCTGGCCCCACCTCCATGGCTGAGATCGTCAATTTTGATGATCTCAGCCAATCCAATGCTTTTCCTTAGGCTGTTTTGCATACGCGGCAAAACACAGCAAAACAGCAAAATGTGCAGCAAAAATCTCTCTGAAATGCTCACATTGACTATGTTGGGATTTTCCTTAAATTCCAGTGCAGTCAAAAGACATACTAAGACAATTTAGGGACTACTGTTGTTGTTTTTTACTGAATCAATACATGCCAGGAGCTGAAGAGAATTGGCAGAAACAACATAGCGATGGTTGTGAGGAACCAGTTCAGATAAGTATAACGTACCTTCCCCTGCACCCCATGACCATGCCGTGACCACTGGACTCCCAGCAGTAAAACCTCAGATGGTGACAGAGCGCTTTAACCCCTTAAGGACCAAACTTCTGGAATAAAAGGGAATCATGACATGTCACACATGTCATGTGTCCTTAAGGGGTTAAACAGTAAAAGATATGACCTTAAAAATGACAACATACTTTATTGGGGCGATTTGTCCCTTGATCTCCCTCAGTTGCTACACACACACACTCACCTGTCTCTGACTCTGTACTTTCGCTCGCCCAGGGTACCCACTTTAGGCATGACCATTTTAAGGAACTGTAACACGTATCTATGCTCTATTTTATCGCCCTGTCTTGCACTGAATTTCCCAACATTCTTAGCTGAGTAGTGAGACCCTAGTGTTATCGTCTGCTGCTGTCACCGCCTACACATCATGTTTCAATGTCTTGTGTGGTCAATAATGATGTTCTGCCATGGATATTTCAGTTAGCGCTATCACCTCCCTGTCAGCTTGAACCAGTCTAGCCAGTGTACTCTGATCTCTTTCGATAACAGCACTGCTGTGTTCTTAGCACCTTTTTTTTTTTTTTTTTACATACACAAAAGTTTAATCTTTGACTATAAACTCTGCATACTGGGTGCATGTAAATTCCAGAAGATCGATCAATTGTCAAAATGTAATTTCTTCCTCATTCTGATGTTTGATTTGAAGAACACATGAACCCCTTGATCACGTTTCCCTGTTCTTTTATATATTTAGTTGCTACCTGTGACGGTCTAAATAGGTATCGCTGTCTAGTATTCCCTTATTCCCATAAAATAATATCGCAAATAATTCACAGGGTACAATATCGCCGGTATCGCATAATAATCCACAAATGAGCCAAAGCTTAATGCTGAAACAAAACTGGTTTAATGGAAGCAAGGACATCCAATTTATACAACACCAGACTCCTCCTCTGAGCCAATAAGATAATTGAGTTTTAGAAACATACTAAACTCAATTATCTGCTGGCCAGAAAAGTTAAAAATTTTCAACATTTTTAGAAATAAACTTTCTGAATAACAAAACCATATAAAATCCTTGGGTAGCTGAGGATGATGTGAGTAACATATTCAAAATTCACGAAAATCCGTTTGGTACTTTCCAAACGGCACCGTGTGGAAGTTTTGACCAAGAGTTTCACAGAATTGGCAGCAAGAGCCGGTCTCCATTCGGATGAATTTGCACGAAAACCGCCATTGATAGAATAAAGATGATTCATGGAGAATGCTCCTCTCATTCGTTCATGCAAGTGCCATGCCCAAGTCCCACTGGCCGTGTTCGGGAGTTAAAGGGAAACTCCAGTGCCAGGAAAACAATTTGTTTTCCTGGCACTGCAGGTCCCCTCTCCCTCCCACCACCTATCCCCTCATAGCTGAAGGTGTGAAAACCCCTTCAGGTCACTTACCTGAGACCCCGCCGATGTCCCTCGGCGATGGTTTCTGCTCGCCACTGTTCCAGGAAGAATGTTTTTTTTTTTTTTTGCTCTCTCTGTACATTGTATTTCAAACCGGCCCCCCTAATCCTATCTAGTACTGACCCTACATGTGCTAGGTGAGACTCCCAGGTATCGCTATAGATAGGTGCACACGCATAATCCTGGAGACTGTCTAGAATGCGATCCACCATCCTTTGGAAGGTGGCAGGAGCGTTCTTCAGAAGAGTAAGCAACTCCCACGGACGTTTGGGAATTGGTTGGAAGGTTTTGCTGTGTTCGATAGTATCCTAACCAGGCATTTTCCGGAACGGGCGCCTTCCTTGTTCGGCTATCTAGACCTTATTTGGGGTGCATATAAGGTTTATGACGGACAGAGCTGGTACCGGTATGACCAGCAGTTCCGCCAAAAGATGTCGCGTGTCTCGGATTAGATTTCAGTACCCAGGATGGTAGCTTATGGGTGCTGATAATGACCCCCCAGTCTTCCATTGTCCTTTTCAGGAGCAGCTGGGGCTCCCTCTGGGGCACCGGCTGGTCCGAAAAAAGGAGTGTGCTGGCTCTTTAATGAGAGTCACTGCAGGTGGTACTCCTCCTGCCGGTTTAGGCATGAATGCTCGCATTGTGGAGGGGCTCAGCTTACAGAGGGTTATGCGTGGTTGGAGGAGTCGGAGAGGTCTGGATAGACATAGGCCGATCTCCTTCGACTTGCTGGGTCAATTGCTGGCGGCTCTTCCAGCTGTCTGCATATCACCAGGAGAGAGTCTGCTGTTTCCGGTGGCATTCTCCTTTTGCTTCTTTGGTGCGCTTCGGGTGGGGGAACTGGTGGCCCCTTCCCGGCGGCGATTCCCCCTTTACTGCTGTCTGATGTCCGCTGATCTGATATGTTTGTGGACTTGCATATTCGTAGGTTTAAAATGGATCAGTCAACGAGGGGCATGTGGTTGCGGGTAGGGCGTACTGGTGGGGTGTTGTGCCCGGTTCGGCTGTTTGGTCAGTATCTATCTATTTGGCCGTCGTCTGTGGCTTTGCTGGTTCATGCGGATGGGTCTCCAGTGACGCGTTTTCAGTTCGCATCGATGCTGGGTAAGGCGTTGCAGTATTGTGGTCGGGATCCAACCGGTTTCTCTCCTCATTCATTTAGGATCGGAGCAGCCACTCAGGCTAGTGTTTTGGGATATTCGGGGTCACAGGTGCAGCGCTTGGGTAAATGGTCATCTCGTAGGTATCAGCTGTACGTGCGGCCTATTTTACTGTAACTTGTCCTCTGTTTTAGGGTGTTCTTCCCGGTATGTTTGGATTGTAGGACACTCTTTCATCTATTGGGCAGCTCGATGGGCAGAGTCACGTTCCTATGGTCGAAATCTGGGGATCCCAGCCGAGTTAGCAAGGGTTCGTTGGAGGAGTATCCGGGGTCTGTCATGGTGCCAAATCTACCCGGAGTGCGTTTCTCTCAGCAGGTTTTTTTCTGGGTCGGTTATCATTGTAATCCATGTGGGGGGTAAGGACGGTGGACTTAATGCACGCTGTACAGCGGGACTTGGCTCGGTGCATGGCATTATTTGCAGAGTGTTGTTTGGTGTGGTCAGAGATTGTCCCCCGTCCATGCTGGCAAGCCTTGCCGCATGCAAAATGGTTGGAGAGGGCTAGGCGGTGTGACAGTTCAACAGACGGAGTTGGAAGGGGACAATCAGAGTTTAATGAGGGCAGATGGGGTTCATCTGAACCCTATTAGGCTGGATATATATAACGTGGGGATTCAAGGAGGGATTGAAACGGCGCTGTCTGCGTGGGGCGCGATGCAGACAACTGGATATCAGAGTGGCGGAGGTCCTGGCCAGCGCAAGTAATGCAAGACAAGGCTTTGGGGAGTCGCAGCTGCCAGGTCTGATGGCAGAAGGCAGACTGTATGGACTCTTGGAATTATCCGGTGTATCTGTCTGTTGGGTAGTCACCCCAACAGCCGACAGGTGGTGATATAAAGCTGGCTGAGTTGATATGTTGGAATAATAAAGCTGTGGTCATTGCCCTTATCCAATACTCAGGTGTCTTGTCGTTATTGGGGGGCAACGGGAATGTAAGTGGTCTGCAGTCATGATGAGATGCATATGTGTCAGCGTCATTATCTAAATGATGCAGATTCACGTTATTTACAATGCCCCTTAACATTTTTGGGGTGTGGATTTAAAGCACAAGGAGCTTGCCTATAAATAGTGCGTATTTTGCTTCATACAGTGCCCTATTGTGGTTCATTATCGTGAACCCTCTATTGCTTTATTTACCACTGTGTCTATTCCTCGTTTTGACTTGGCTTGTGTAATTTTGACTATCCGGTCCTCTGGTGTCCTTGAACTGGCTGTTCGTTTATGGTCTCCTGTTCTCCAGCTCCCTTGTATTTTGGCTATCTCCTGACTATTCTATTTTAAGCCATGTTAAGCCCGGCCACTATAAGGTCCACTAATACTTTCTAATTTATTCTTAAGGTTACACTCTGGGGTTTAATTTACTGTGACAACAAGTTATTTAATCATAAGGTATACAAATGGCTTCTCCATTTTGGCTTTGTTTTTGTTAAATAAATCATGACACAGTATAATATGTCATGTGTTGTTAATCTGAGGTCGTATTTACCTAATTGTAAGACCTTCTAAGGAACAGATGATTGTTATTATGTCCTTATATATAAAACCATAGAATTCAAAGAGGATGTACTTTCTTTTTTCCATGAATGTATACTCTCCCACTTTAAACACCATGGAAACAATTCAAGATGGCTGCTCTCCACTCCTATCAGAAGCCATTTCACTCCTCTATATCAAACCAATTCATTTACTAATTATTCATTTTAAAAAAATCAACAAGAGACATAAATATGAATTAATGTTACTTTTATTAAGTATGTTTAACAGTATTAATATCATTTTGCAGTCTCTAATAGGGAAATTGATGACTTAAGGTCCAAGGTACATCTTGGAATCTTGGATATTACTACATATGTGGGCGACCTCTGGACTCACGAAGAGTCATCCTTCAGCACTCAGGAAAGGAAAAACCTCCTGTGGAGGAAACCTCTGGGGAACCATGGCTTGAAGGACTACCCTCGCCTCTGGGCATTAAGAGGCAAATACAGAACATATGATAGATGCAGGGCTGGCTCTTTTATAAACTATTTAACTTGACAGAGAGACAGACAGACATAGAAACAGACATACATACATAGACAGACAGGCAGATATATAGATAGATAGAAAGTTTACTAAAACAAGTTCACAGACAGACCAACATAGACACAGACAGACATACATAGATAGACAGACAGGCAGATATATAGATAGATAGAAAGTTTACTAAAGCAAGTTCACAGACAGACCAACATAGACAGACAGACATACATAGATAGACAGACAGGCAGATATATAGATAGAACAATTGCTAAAGTAGATTCACAGACAGACATAGTTAGAGAGACAGAGATGTAGATATATAGACAGAAAGCTTACTAAAGCAGATTAAACAGAGACTGATAGCTGATACCGACACCTGTACAGTAGGCAATTTTCTCGCTCCCCTACCAAAGCAGCGGACGCAATGATTAAAACCGTCATTGTAGAAGCACCAATCTTTGATAATGGGTATACGAGTAGTTATGCAAACCATATCGCCCCCTGCTAGAGCCTCCGTTGTTGAGATCAGATTGAGGGTAGTGAAGCTCCAAGTCTTCAGACACATCCAAGTGAGGCAGAGATCTCTATGCCATTGAGAAGGTAGGAGAACCATGAATCTAGGTGATACTCTGTCAGGGCCTCCGTTATAACTGGGAAGAAATAGAATGTTCAAGCAGTTACATCAGCAGTTATGTTTATGACATCACAGCATGACATCACCAATTATAATTTCACTGAGAAGGATCCTGGAGTAAAGATTATCTTCATTAATATGAAAGTCTTTACAATCAATATAAATTTTATATGAACCTAAAAGTAAACTTAGTAATCCCCTTTCCTTTCGCACCTTTTGTCTCTCTTATAGTCTCCGTTTTTCAAAGTGTTTATTTTCTTCTCTCTACGCTCTATTTTTCTTTATTGAGAGCACAGCTGGACAATCACGGGTCCCAGTATATCCCTTGAACCCAGACAGCACCTGGGGGGTTTCTCTGAAACTGCTATGTTTATAAAACAATGGGTTAACCCTAGCTGGACCTGGCACCCAGACCACTTCATTAAGCTGAAGTGGTCTGGGTGCCTAGAGTGGTCCTTTAATGTAGGACAGCTGAGCAACGTGGGAGTATGAATTCTGGGAGAGAGCACATTCTGTCAACATTCTGTTAGTTTGTACCGGGAAGCTGTGGAAGGGTGCTGTGATGAAGAGATGGGGATCTAGGGAGGGGCAGTCATGACGGGAAGTAAAGGAGGTGCCTGTATGAGCGGGGACATATAACGAAAAAGAGAAGGGCAGGAATGAGGTGTAAATCCTAGTGATAAGGAGAATGTAATAATTATAGTGAAATAGGTCTCTGCCTGGATTTTTTGTTAGCTAGAAATGCCACGTTGATTGGCTGAGAGCGTCAGTCGGCACACTCACCCTATCACTTCTGCCCCTTTGCTTGAGCTAATTCTTCTGCATATAATGTTCCAATAAAGACTATTATTTTACGCCTTGTCTTTTGGAGATTTTTGTGGGGATCTCCCCCAGGGTGACCAGATCCACTATGTTTACAGGGACACATTTAAATTTGTAATATTTGTGAAAAGGCATAAAATCGGTTGCCTGCAGCATGTATAATGCATATTCTGCACGATTCTTCATTGCTGAATTGTTTAATAACAGGGTTATTCATTGTCTAATTTCTTAATTTTATACACCTTCTTCTGAATTCTACATATTACAGGTAGAGATGTCGCGAACCGTTCACGAACTTTGCGCGAACGGTTCGCCGCGCTTCGCCACGAACCGTTCGCGGCGAACTCCGGTCAGCTGACACAGCCCGGCCAATCTCCAGCAGATTCTCCCTCCCAGACCCTCCCACCTCCTGGACAGCATCCATGTTGGGCTTCAACATGGATGCTGTCCAGGAGGTGGGAGGGTCTGGGAGGGAGGGTCTGCTGGAGATTGGCCGGGCTGTGTCAGCTGACCGGAGTTCGCCACGAAACCATTCGCGCAAATTTCGCAAACAGTTCGCGACATCTCTAATTACAGGGCTACATCTTTTCATGTGCTGCCCATTAATATGTATATATGAAATGTGTCCCAGAAAACATGGTGGATCTGGTCAACCTGATCTCCCGACCCTATGGGTGGAAGACCAACTATTTTTTTTTTTTTTTTAATTCTTTATTTTGTAGTGCAGAGAAATATACACATTTTTGTCATGCCCCAACGGCCAATGACAGTAGATTCGCAATACATAGTTAACATGTAGTAGGGCAGTGAGAAAGACATGCACAATTTTTAAGTAGGTGTAACAACATGCTTAAAGACTTGTTTGTATATTTAGTGTGCTTATAGGCATTATAGCAACTTTTTAGCAGGAGTATGCAAGATACAAGATAAAGCTTTGCGTAAACTGTGACATGAGCTGCTCTGTTCTATATGTTAACCAGCTGGTGCTATTAATGCCAGGTGATAAGCAAGTGTGTTCAGTAATAAAGGTCATGCTAATTTATGGTAGTCAAACACTAGTAGTAACACCTTGCTTCAACTTTTAGTTAGCTTATAAGATATATGTGTGTTAGCAGAGGATTAGTGTGTGTTTGTAAAACGATTAACTCTTAAGTGTGGGAACCACTGGGTACTCATTTTCAGATTATGTGTATATAGTTTGTTTTCATACAGGAATAATTGCTAGGCATGGTTTTAGTCAGTTATGTGCAGTGGGTATCGTGCTAAATTAGTGTGACTGGTTTATTCATCTCTTGTAGTGAGTATGAGAGTGCAGTCAAAATGAAAAATGGAAGCACAATGTCCATTGAGATTTGATGCAGTCCCGGGCTGGTTGTATCATTTGTGTGGCTGCTAAGGGCTGAGGGTTAAAGGTAGAGACCAACAAGTCCAGCAACATTTCCCTGGGGTGACATTTCTGTCAGGGAGCATACTTAGGAGGGATAGTTTAACCAATGCCTACAGTTGGCTGGCTGTCACCTCCTGAGATCAAGGGTCCGCTGCTCCGTGGTGAGGGACGCTCCGGTCCCGGGCGCTCATGTGTTCTTGGACCACGGTAGCTGTACTGCCATCCACTGCTGTCGGGTACTGTCCCTTGGGCCTCCGCTGTGCTCTGGGTCTGCGTTGCCATGCGTGTGCTCTCCACCAGAGTGGTTTGCGGGTGGGTGTGTTGCTCCCACCCGAGTGCCGTGCCGAGAGACTGCAGCGAGGTCGTGGGGTGGGTGGTCTATGTTGGCGTGCGGCTGTGCTGTGAGGCGTCGGGAGAGTCCTGCGGCGGGCCCGTCTGCAGGATGGATGCGGCTTCGTGTGGGCACTGGATCAGGGGATCTTCCCCTTTGTAGTAGTTATAGCAGGGTGGGTGGCTTTGTGCTCCATACGCTGCCAGAATTCCTGGCATATTTGGTCTAATCGGGCCTCAAAGTGCACTCTCCAGGTCTGGATTGTGGTGCATGTTTGATACTGCATGAGTTGTGGTTCGGCGGCCATTTTGTTCCTGAACTGCGATCTCCGCTACGGTAAACTAGCCTCCTGAGGCATGTTAGTGAGATTCCCCAGCGGGGACCGGGATGACCCCCACCGGTCCAAAGGGGGGGGGACGCGGGACTCCAGGAGCATTGTTGCTTGTAGCGGTCCCCAGGGCGGGAGATCGGCCGCCTCTCCCAGCCATAGGCCGCCTTCCCTGCTAGGCCACATCGGTGGAGCGTGGTCCCTCTCAGCAGATTTGCACAAAACGGGCATCCACAAGCCCCCACTCGATCCAGCCGTGGATTATCAGCAAGCTGGACAGCTTTAGTCGAGATCTTGGTAAATATGAGTCAATTTTGAGCCAATTTGTGTCGGAGCTCGCTGTGCACACGTCTTGCCAGCTCGGCTGTCAGGCCCTGCCCCCAGACCAACTATTTTTGTGAGCTGCACGATAGTTATTAGAAGCCTAAAAGGAGAAGTATTTTTTTTATGGTTATTTATTGACTTCTGATTAGTAATGCCCTTCAGTCCTTAGTGTTCTCCTTTTAAGCCTTTGGTTCCTTTTTCCATTTTTATTATTTTTGTTTATTTGACTCAATGTTAAAAAGCTTGTTATTTGAATGAGGCATATATTAAAAAAATTGTGATTGAAAACCCCTTCCACCTGAAATCTGTGGATAGTTAATATAATGTTAAACAAAAATCTGCCACAAGACTTGCTTTTTCCAGAAAAATCTGCAGCATAGATGCCCCGTATCTATCTACCTATATATATATACATACACACACACAATAGTGTAGTACTGTAATGACACTTTAAAATCTAGTGCAGATATAATTGTGAATTGTTATACTCACGTTTCAAAGAGCCTATAAAAATCAGCTCTGATCATCTGTACCTTTAGGTAGCATACCACCACAACTCCTCTGGATCTCCACAGTGCTGGTGTCAGAGAGAATAAAAGATTAAAATGCACAAATGCTAGTGCAGTATCTTCAGTGATTGTGAATATTTACAAGTAAAAAGAAATAAGCTCACCTTGTGTAGAGCCACTGTCAGGGTCTGAACGCTCTTCTAGCATTGTCACAACTTCAGGATCTCCTGCTCCTCCAAACCATGTGTCTGTCTGCCATAATAGCGTCTCAGAAGGCACCCACCAACTATGAGCGCAGGTAAGTCACTGTGCTCAGGATCCACAAGCGTGAGGACGTAGTGTCGGTATTTTTTATGAGGCATCTATCTATGCTGCAGATTGATGCCACTCGCATTCTTTACTGACGCATGCTGGAGATCCTGCAACACTTTTGATGGGACCTTCTCCTTCTATTGACGCAATTAGGGACGTGAGCAACCAAAATGACACAATTCATGGCAGAGGATTTATAGTGATTTGAAGTGGTCATGGTGCCCGCAGTCTGTACGTGCAGAGTTTTACTTTGAAATCCTACACATAGTTTGGTTAACCCCTTTGCCGCCAGAGGCGTACCTCCACTTCCAGCCGCATCATTTATCCATCATTAGCAAATCCGGTACAAGAGTCCCGGGCTGACTAATATCAATTCTGTGCATTTCTATGCAGGGATGCTCATTCGTTGCCTGAGAGTGATCAGCTGACGTATCTCAGCCAATTAATGAGCAGGAGGATCGGAATCTAGATTCTGTAGCTCTGAGGAAGCCAGATCTAGTTATCCTGATTGCAGAGAAAAACCGACACTAAGCAATAACACCCAGGTAAGGCAGCAAGCCATTGCAAAAAAGTTTGCCCCATTACTGGTGAACAGTGCCGGAACAGTACCCTTTAATTTGGTTCCCCATACAAATGTTAGATAAGTATGAACACTGACAGACAAGTCAAAAGACAGATTTCTAATTTTTTATGTAGAATTTGTGGTTTGCTGATAATTTAGTGATACAGATTGTTTAATGTGTGAAGCTAAATTTTCTACGAGGGGCTCACTATAAAAGTTCTTTGCGTGTAGAATGTGATGTGGCAATAAAAACGAAATTGACTCAGATATCAGAAATTAAGAAATCATCAGGAAATGTTCTTGCTGCAACTTTAGTTTTTGCTAAGTATGTTGAATTAAGAATTCACTGGTAACTACTTCAACAGGGAACTACCAGGAGAATACTTCAGACACCATAACCACGACCGTGGGCTATAGTGGTTATGGTGCTTGGAGTCTTCATTCAAGAAGAAGTACCCTTGCAGGTGTAAAAAAAATTGCCATGAGAAAGTAATTTCTATTGATTTAAATTCCTTATAACATGTGTAGACACTGATTGCTAAGTTAAAGGATCACTATAGTGTCAGGAAAACAAAGCCCCCAACCTCAGGGTCCCCCTCCCGTGGCGCTGAAGGGGTTAAAACCCCTTCAGTTACTTACCTTAATCCAGCGCCAGGCTCCCTCAGCGATGGTGACCTCTCCTCCCCGTCCGACGTCAGCTCCCCCGTCCGACGTCAGTGGAGCCGAATGCGCATGCGCGGCAAGTGCCGCGCGCCCATTCAAAGTGTCCATAGGAAAGCATTTCTCAATGCTTTCATATGGATGCTCTGTGCGATGGATACGAAATTCGCATCCAGCATCGCAGATGCGCCTCTAGCGGCTGTCCGGATGTTTACATCTGAAGGGTTAAAACCTGAGGGACCTGGAACCCAGACCACTTCATTGAGCTGAAGTGGTCTGGGTGACTATAGTGTCCCTTTAATAAACATACCTGGTTAAAGATAGTGTAGATTAAAGAATATTTTTAAAATAAATATGACATAATGTGAACATTGTTTATAGGATGGAGTGTATGAACTATCAATCTGAAATAAAAAAAAAAAAAGTCACAAATTAAAAATATAAGGCACATACACTACAGTCACCAGAACAACTATAGCTTAATGTAGTTGTTCTGGTGAGTTCAGTCAGTACTTGCAGGCCTTTTAATGTAAATACTGTCTTTTCAGAGAAAAATATTAAAGGAACACTATAGGGTAAGGAACACAAACATGTATTCCTGACTCTATAGTTTTAGAACACCATCTAGCCCCCTTTTTCCCCCCCCTCCCCACCCGCTCACCCTCTTCCCCCTTTAATGTAGCCAATAATTACTTTTATTCCAGTGTGCTGATGCTTGCTCTGCTCCTGATCTACCTGCTTGGCTGACATCATCAGATGTGATGATCTGAGCCAATCACAATGCTTTCCCATAGGAAAGCATTGGATTGGCTGAGCTTGTCAAGGAGGCAGATCAGGAGCAGAGCCGTCACAAGCCAAACACAGCCCTAGTTAATCAGCATCTCCTTATAAAAATGCATTGAATCAATGCATCTCTATGAGGAAAGTTCAGTGTCTCTATGCACAGGGTGGAGACACTGAATGACAGTCACACAGTGCAGCACTGCCCCAGGAAGCACCTCTAGCAGCCATCTGAGGAGTGGCCATAGGAGGTATCCCTAGGCTGTAATGTAAACACTGGCTCTGAAAAAACAGTCTTTACTGCAAAAAAAAATAAAAAAAGCTTAAAGGGACTGACTATACTCACCAGAACAAATACAATAAGCTGTAGTTGTTCTGGTGACCATAGTGTCCTTTTTAAGTTTGCGCAAAACGTTAAAACCAAGCAGCTCAAAAAAACACTTGTGAAAGGTACCTCACTTCCCTTCACCAAAATAATCATAAATAACAATATATTACGAGTGCAAGCCTTATAATACAAAGTGGAGAACTGTGTGTGAAGGAGTATCTTACCACCTTACAGTATGCAGTACAATAGCGATGCTAAAACAACAGCATATAAGATAAAAATAGAGAAAACCAAAAATAGTGCAGATGGCAACAGTCCTTGGTAAATGTGAATAATGGCGTGCAAATACTCTCACGTGTAATGGAGCCACAAAATATAGGCTCACTTAGTGCATAATTGTGCCTTTCCAGGAGGCACCCCATCTCTCTTCTATCTGGAGACGTGTCACTCAGAGAAAACACAGGTATGACTGACAAAGTTTTATATCTAAAATGGATATAATAAAAAATGGACCCTCACGTTATTTAGAGCCTATAGGTCCTCGGCTTTAAGGTTATGCAACTAGTGTCAATTTGTGGGGTGACACTTCCCCAGCTGTATATCTTGATCCTTGTTGTAATAAAGTGCTGGCGAAAGTGCTACAGATAATAAATTTATTATGACATCAAAACAAATATAAAAACAATAAAAGTGCTCCTAATATAAAGTCCAGCTTGTGCAAAAAACGCCAAAAATCGTTTCGCTGTGATAGCAGTTTCACTTAGCAATACTCACCTACTCGTTCCTGTGCTAGAAACTACGTTTTCTCACTTAAATTAAAAGCCTGAAGCACATCTCAAACCATGTCAACCATTAAAAGAAAGGAAGCAAAAAGCCAAAACAGTGAGTCAAAAATAAACCTTTACGTACGTAATGTGCAAAAGTCATACGTGTATACCTACCGACATTGAGTTATACATCTGAATCGCTACTTTAACCTATCTAAAAAAATTTACCTTTTTTCTGTCCATCTCCAACCACCACCACTATTTCCTGCATCCATATTCGAAGGCCGATCACATGCTCAGACTGAGATTTTTGTAGCTGAATTGGCGGCAACTTAGAAAGTGCCCCTTTTACTGT